CTCATAAATGCAGCAACCATTGCGCAGCAGCCCAGCGCTTTCATAGCCGATGTCACCCAACACTCCCTTCTCGCTGTCCGCTGGTCCTGCCCTAGACTCATACCCTTCCATGGTTGTCCCACCAGCATGTACATCCAGTAAATGAGCATCCTTCATAATACCCTCGCCAAGTCAGTACACTTGGACTTTGGCAATTCTTGATGTTAAGTATTGTGATTAATTCACCATTCAGTGTACATCTGTCTGCAGAGCGCTAGGCTAGTCCCCCCAAAAGAAAACAAGAAGTCAAACCATGGACTTTCAATGTTCAACTCCCGATTGCAATCAATTGCGTTCCTATCGCTATGGCACGTTAAGTATGGAACGTTACATACCCAGAAATTCGTGCTGATCGGACATTGCAAGCTGTCCTGTTTTATCTGTGACAATTGGTGCAAACAGCTGTAAGTACCAATGAAGGAAAGACCAAACTGAAGTACATCATGTGAACAGTGATACTCATACATTCAATTGCAGAACTGAACATCTCTTGAAGAATCTGGGGTCCTTTGGTGTGAATGCAATGAGGGTGTTTGAATGGAGTAAGGTTCTGGAAGGTCCAACTTCTCTGATGACAAAGGTGTCCACGGCATCAGGTATGCACACATACCTTCCATATGATGGTGCATATCTGGTGTTGGAATGATTCTCATCGATATTGATATTAGGTCCATGATACGAATCATAGCTTTGACCTGTCTGACTGTGGAAATTCAGCAAACAATACGAAAATTCAGCTTTGGGATAGATGGGCTGAGGCCAATCAGATTTAGGGACTTGTCAAGCATCAATGATCACAGAAGGGATGCAACACAAAACAGCTTCATATGACATGTAGTCATTTGACAAGTAGTGGCCAGGAGTACTAGTAGTGTCCATGTCCATTGTATTGCACACAGATATGGTTGTGAGCATCATGTCTGTGGTGGGTATATGTATGAGAGGGCGCAATCCTGTGGTAAACGAATTTTGAATTAACACCGCGACTTGAGCAAACTTTATCTCGCTATGCATAAGACCTGATCAGTACTTTTAAAATGGATATTAGAGAGGCAGTTTAATTCGGGAATCCGGATAATTTGGTTGTTTGTGATGATGCACTACGGTTGTGACTTACGACAGAAGCAAATGCCGGGCCCTCAGGAAGGTGGGTAAGCAATCTCTGGGGTTATGCATGGCCGGAGATCTCTTCTACAATATTTGTCATGACTGGAGATTTTGCGGTGGTCGCAGATTTGTGTATGTGTGGGCGAGAAGATAAAGTTGCCAAGATATCTGACTTTGGATTTCGTTACCTACATGGATACCTAGAAGTCCGAGATTGATTCGAAAGAACAATCCAGCCGTATTCCTTATTTGCTCACAGGGGCTAAAGGCTACACTAATCCAAAGTCTAAGTTCTTTGCCCTCGCTGCGCTTCGGGCCAATAACGGCCAAACTTGGATGAATAGACAGGGGCTTTGAAGATGACGACATACTTATGTAGCATGGAATCATGGGCACACAGCGAATCGTTTCAAATGTAACATTGCATAGCTCAGTGGTGCCGACTTGTGTTCCGATAGAAAAAAGATACGTCATTTGGTAGGTTTCGAACCTGCACAATCCAGGAGAACCAGATTTTGACTCTGATAACCACTTGGCTAACACCATTGAAGATGGTCCTGCGAGGAACTGTCGATGAGTGAATCATGAAGGTATGTTCAATAGGGAAAAAAAACCTCCTCGTCGGCAGGTTCGACAGATTTTGATTCTGTTGTGTAACTACCTGGCTAAGACCCAGTTAAGAGGGTCCTCTGAGGAAACCATCCATGAGTAATCTTCAAGGCCACCGTGATCCGATAGAAAAAAAAGCGTGGACGTCGGCAGGTTTCGAAACTGCGCAATCCAAGAGAAACAGATTTTGATTCTGCTGTAGAAACCACCTGGCTAAGACAAGTTAGATGGGCCTCCGAGGAAACCACCCATGAATCTTCAAGCCCGCCGTGTTCCGATAAAAAAGAAACATTGTCGTCGGCAGGTTTCGAGCCTGCACAGTCCAAGTCTCCAAGAGAAACATATTTTGATTCTCTTATGGTCACCACTTGGCTAAGATCCGTTAGCTGGAAATCATCCACGAATAAATGTCCGATAGAAAAAACCTTTCATCGGCAGGTTTCAAACCTGCGCAAGCCAGGAGAAACAGATTTTGATTCCGTTGTAGTAACCACTTGGCTAAGACCCCGTTGGATGAACCTCTGAGGAAACCATCCATGACTCAATGTCAAAGTGTGTTCCGATAGAAAAAAACCTGGTTGTGAGCAGGTTTTGAATCTGCGCAGGCCGAGAGAAACAGATTTTGATTCTGCTGTAGAAACCGCCTAGCCTAAGACCAGTTAAGATCGACCTCTGAGGAAAAAATCCATGAGTAAATCTTCAAGGCCGCCGTGTTCCGATCAAAAAAGAAACGTTGTCGTCGGCAAGTTTCGAACCTGCACTGGCACAGTTCAAGAGACAGATTTAAATTCTGTTGTGGTAACAACTTTGACCATGACGAAGTTGAGATGACCCTCCGAGGAAACCATCCTTGAGGGAATCTTCAAGGCATATTCTGATAGGAAAAAACGAGCTGTTGGGGGTAGGTTTCGAACCTTCACAATCCAAGAGAAACAGATTTCGATTCTGTTGTGGTAACCATTTGGCTAAGACGAGTTATGTAAGATGAACCTCCGACGAAACCATGCATGAGTGAATGTCGACATGTGTTCACGCATCATAGACCTTATCTGTGAGCTGCAAAAGTCATAGATAAGGTCTATGATGCATCCGCCCCATGGAGGATTAGTCTCACCCGTGAGGATTCGTTGGTACTTGGTGGTGTTCGTCGTCAACCCAATCAACGAGAGTCTGACAAGGAAATCTTCCTCGCTAGCACGATTTCCAGACGGCACCATAGGACCATCATCAAGGAACACATCATGGACCTTGTCTATGACGTCTGCAGCACCGCTGGGCAACCGCAGAATGGCCGACTTAATGGAAGCGGTGCATAGCCAATCAGGTGAACCATATTGCCCTCAACTCTATTCAGATAAACAGGGCTCATGTATTGGCGTCAAATGAATAAAAATAGTGCACGCACCTCTGCAGCTTCGAGGAAGAAACTCGTAACTCCTACTACCAAGTCCATCTCGACAGTACTCAGAGCGCTCGACCACAGTAAGGTCTGACTGTGCTAATAGCATCCGGTGTGTGTCGGGACATGGTGTTTATCATAGTACATGCATCAATTAGCATAGTATCAGTGCGTTCCACTCAATATTTGTTAAAACGTTCAGTCCTTCAAGTGATTTGGACGGAACATGTTTGTATATGTTTGTTTCAAATTTTACAGCCACACCATGCACGGGTTGCGTCCAAAACATTTTTACGCAACGCACTGTACCTAGGAATTTGGTGGGCCGTGGCCGCTTTGGGGTGCTTGATGAGGCCATTATCTGTATCGATAGTTTGCGATAATCATCTAGATTCTCATCAAAAACCCCAAACTTCAAACATCACATGATGGTCATAATGGTCGGCATACGAAGAGGGCTGCAGATATTGCTCTTTTCCAACAAATATACACATCGACGGTGAGCTGCAGGGAGTTTCCGTTCTTGAAGGATTTCGTGCGTCACATTATTTTCTCCCGAAGAAATGAGCTGTTTTCTGAATAGTCATCCATCAGATCTTGTCGAGTTCGCGTCAGGTTAAACCACACCCAGATAATATAAATGGGGTTCCTATATATCTCCAACTTCTGATAGTTCCATATGTTTTTTCCGCCAATGTGTATCCATCTCCCACTCATCCAAGCTCGAGTTCTCAACCTTGCTCACAGCATTACGTTTGTGCGGCCCGTAAATCCAGGAAAGTGCATCATATCCCATGCTACTGGGCGCAGGTCCCAGGATAATCAGCACTATATATACACACCTGCGCTGCCCTCCATCGTTGCCCACGATGTATACCACTTCTTCTCTCTTCTTCCACACCCTAGCCCAGGTCGGCATCACTCATGCATTCGTTAACTGGGGCTCCGATCACCCTGCACTCCTCGAAGACCTCCAACGCCAACGCGTCGACCATGGCGATACCGTTGTCGAAATAATCACTTGCCCCAATGAAATGGCTGCGTTGAGCGCGGCACAGGCATTTGTACAGGTTACGAACACGCCCGCTGCAGTCATTGTACATGTCGATGTCGGAACCCAGGTTGGTGTCGTACGCTTGGCTTTCTAGAGATATTTCTGTTAAACACTTTGTGATAGGCTCTTGCTGGTGCCGTCCATAACGCGAGCAGAGGAAAGGTCCCCATCCTGGTGTTTGCCGGTGCATCACCGTCTACTGTGGAAGGAGAGTTGAAGGGGTCGAGGAATGAGTGGATTCATTGGATGCAAGGTAAGATACCCACTTGATTGGTTGAAGATAAACCTCAGATTCTTTGTGCGTAGATATACCTGACCAACCTGCCATTGTCAGGCAATACATGCGTTTCACTGCACAGATCAATGCACCCGAAAATGTCCCTCATCTTGTCAGACGTGCTCTTCAGATGTAAGCTCCTTTCGTTCATTCAAAGTCAAAATTAGCTAAAATGTGCACCCCAGTGCCACAAGCGAACCAAAAGGTCCAGTATATCTCTGGGCACGCAGAGAAGTGTTAGAACAGGAGATCGATGAATCACTTTTCAACACTCCGGCATCTCTCTGCAGATGGCCTTCAATCGAGCCAAGCGGGCTCTCCCCCTCAGGTAAATTGCCATAGCAAGTACAGACACTATGGGTTTTTCTTATCATGTTTGCAGCCGTGAACGTAATTGGCGATGCCCTGGCTCATGCAAACAACCCGCTTATCATTACGTCATACATTGGGCGGAATCCTGCAGCCGTCGCCGCCCTGGAGATGCTTTCCCGGCTGATGGCTATCCCTATATTCGTGACTTGCCCTAGCGCTACAAATGTCTCTCTCTCGCATCCATTCTTCGTGGGCGTTTCCTTCCTCGCACCTGGAACACACACTCGCTGCTCAGCACAGCAGACGTAATCCTCGTCATCGACGCAGAGGTACCATGGATCCCAATGAACAAAGACAATCAAGGCAACTTCGAGCGCCCCAGCGATGAAGCCCGCATCTTCGTAATCGACTCTGGGGACCCTCTTAAAGAAACCATCGGCATGGAGCACGTCGCCGGCGTCGCAGAAGTTGTTTGCCGTGCCAGCGCTGACGTCATGCTCTACCAACTCCTGAACTCCGGGCGCACAGGCGCGGCGACAGGATTCTACACGCGTTCCAGGAACATACAGGCAATACACGATGCGTTCATCGCAGACATGCGTAACGCAGAGACACTCGCGTTCGAACCGAATGTGCCGTATTTGCCCTCGCGCATCTTTGGAGCGTTGCGTACGGCGGTGGAAAATAAGGTACCGCACCCTGCGAGCACGCTTTACCTTAACGAGACCATCAGTAACTACCCGCTTTCATGGTCACACCTGCATCCCGATACGCCTGCGGGCATGTTGAGCTCCGGCGGCTCTTCGCTCGGCTGGGCATTGGGTGCGAGCGTTGGTGCGGTTCTAGGAGGCGTAAATGCGGGCAAGGGTGCAGGGAAGGTGGGATACGAGCTGGTAGTGAGCGTGGTTGGTGATGGTACGTTCTTGTTTGGGGTGCCTAGCAGTGCGTTCTGGATGGCGAGGCGGTATGAAACAGTGAGTACCACATACTGAGATTTTGAGTGATGATTCTGAGGAAGTCTTGAACGGTAGCCCTTCCTGACCATCGTTTTGAATAACGGAGGCTGGAAATCACCAAAACTTTCCATGCTGGGCGTGCACCCCGAGGGGCACGGCTCTAAGGTTACTGGCAACCAGCTCACTGTGGGCCTCGGGCCTGTCATGCCAGATTATGTGGGTATCGCAGTAGCTGCGACCGGGGGGTGGGCGTGGGGAAAACGCATCGCAGCGGGTGATCCCCTAGGAGAGACGATGGCGGAAGCTGTGCGAATCGTTGTCGAAGAGCGGCGGTGTGCGATTGTGGAGTGTGTATTGGAGAGTATTTGAGCGACGAGAACCCAGAAGGTGCGCTAGTGGGAATTGGGTCTACGCTGTAAAATTGGTCAGGTCTGTGCTTATAACCATAGATTTTAATGAATGTCATGAATACGCTGGGCGCTGGGCGTCCCATCATCGATAGATCTATAAATTGACCTTTTGTGTAATGAAGTATCTTTTCACTACATAGTTTTAAACTGTTCGAAACGGCAATAAATGACGGGCGTTTGTAGAACAATCAAGCTTATCTCTCTATCGCTACACGAACATTGAATTGTCTCTAAGCAAGTTCCTTTTAAATTTGATATGATTCAGAATAAAGGGCAAGGTTTGCGAGACAACAAACCAATGATATCAATCAAATTGGAGGTGGTAAAGAGAAATTTTGTTGAGGAAGGCTATCATATATCGGACAGAGCTGCTTCGAAGAATCTATCGCTGATCGTCAGACCTAAGTCTAGTAGTCCATGGTGCTATGTGCTCACTACTGAGAGGTTGCGAAGCCGCCACATCTTGAGAAGCCTCTGCAAATACCAAAGCCATCCCGCTGTGATCATATAAATCAAAAGTCCGTCCAGGCTCGGTAAAAGGAACAAGCAACTTACATGTATAAATGCCAATCAATATGACTATACAAAAGTCCCAAAGTCATCAACATCATTGGCGATGAGTTATCAAGAGCGATGCTGACCAGTGTAACATCCACGGCCCAGGATTATCAGTGATGAAGCGGATAGTCACGTAGTCACCGAGAAAACCAGTGTTCACGGTATCGCGCAACACGGGGTTGGCGTAGTTATATCTGCTACTGCCAGCACTTCTGATGACAGCGAATTTGTGCTAAGAATCATTTATTAGTACGGGATGTGCATAGATGACATGTAGAGATGTACTCCATGCAGGTGAAATGGGTGCTGCTAAGGTTTTAGTCGAGGGTATGCAAGTACATGATGTTTTGGGACTCACAGGGCGATCTGGGGAAAAATCAGGAATCCATGAAATCTCGATAACCTTGTTCCTTGGTAGAGAATATATGGAACCATTGGGTGCCATTTCCGAAGCCGACATATCACCGTTCAGCAATTGTAGTAGGACAGGGATACTAGGAGAAGTGTACTGCACGCCGTTGATGAGAAAGTTGAAATTGGTCATATTTTTTCCAAAAACAATATCAAGCTTGACGTCTGCGCCATCTTCCCGAAGCAATATAGGCAGAGGTGGATATAACGGGTGTAGGTCAGTCTCCTGTAGAGCGACTGGGTTTGCAGTCATCCTGATCTTAGGGTCCACATCGGGAGAGCCTGCATATCGTAAGATGGCCATGGAGCCTGTACCTAAGTTGGGGACCGCATGCACCCAATAGTTGTCGGCAGGCCGGTTTGTTTCAAGAATGAAGGAGTACCTCTGTGCGGCGTAGATCTGGATAGAGTCCACCACGAGCGGCTCGACGTATTGACCATCAGCTTCGATTATGATAAGCTTATGGTGATCGATCGAGAAAATATAGTTGGGCTTGCACGCCATGTTCAGTAAGCGGAATCGATATCTTTTGTATGGCTGAACGTTAATGACGGCGTAAAGCGTATCTGGCCCTCCTGGATGATTCCCGACACCATTGATAAGCACCGAGTCTGGAACCACCTGTCTCTGGACTTGAGGGGATGGTACGTGGTACCTGCAAATGGAGCTGAGTCAATCCACGTGAAAGAACCATTGGCTTACCAGTCCATCAGCGTGATGATGGTAGACTCTTCGCTTAGGTGTCAGAACCGAAATTCCACTTTGTCTGGCTCACTGACCATCATCAATATCGTACAAGAAGCGGTATGGATCTTGTGGGTCGTAGATAATCAGTGCACCTCGTAAACCGTCACAGTATTGGACCTGATTTTCACTCAGTGATCAATTGGAAGTGAATAAATCGGAACACCAACTCCATAATGAGAGTGGTACCAGTAGGTTCCTACTTGATCGCCAGCATTGAACTCGTACAGAAAAGAATGGCCAGGAGAGATCGGGCATTGCGTCACAAATGCTGCGCCATCCATTTGATTGCTATGGCGTTGGAATAGTCCATGCCAGTGCTGTCCGGGGTAGACTATCATTGGACGCTCCTGTGTTTCAACCAATTGGTGCTTACGATGCTGGTACTTAGTGAGCATTGTTTCATCATTTAAATGATTGGTGACGTTGATTTTGAACGTGTCGCCCTTAAAAACACATAAGATCACCGAGAGTTTGTATACACAAAGTAATCTCACTTTCTGACCCGTGATAATAGGCCCGGGGAGAGTGTCGCCAGCAAGAACAGCCCTGGTACTGACCTCAGTAATCAAGCAGAACGAAAAAATACACCCGAAACTGACGACTTGACAAATCCGTCTGGAGACACTTGAGCATTTGCAATGACTAGGTCAGCAACTGGGCCAACAGTAACGGCGTAACTCTGAAGACTTGTCAAGACGCACAAGAATATATAGTGTCGAATCATGACCCGGAGGATGAGCAAAACGCAGTGCAACCTTTGACTTAAGTAGTGCACTTTGTAATCGCCTTTTGGATCTGATGCTTCTTTTCCGGGTCGTGGATCGAAGTTTTCGACTGTGAAGCAACCATTTCCCTAGTGGCGATATCTCAGCAGCTTCCCACCTGTAAGTCAGAACTGATCAGGCCTGAATAGTGTAACGAAACGACAACACTACTTTCAAAGTCCTCGGCTTCAGATTATGATACTCACTCGCCGGCACGAGGTAGTACAAGCTCTTAGATCTTACGAGTTTCTCAACGTTGGCTAGCGTTTACAAGTGGCGCATGGATTCCCCGAAGCATCAGAATAAGGTTCCAGCCTCTTCGGAATATTCTTGCGACAGAGATGAAAACTTAGCATGACGTGGAGAAGCAACAATCGCCAAGATGAACATGCTTCGGGGAATATTCCAAATGTGGAGCAGCGGCGATGAGTTGTGTGGTAGTTGCTCAATGACTGAGTATAGGCAGCAGAGTCGACTTAAGTTGGTTGTAACTGTCACGTGCGCCACGTCACTTATCATGAGAGGATATCGATGCACATCCAATGTACATTGCACACACCTAAGAGATGAAACTGGCATGCCAAGTTTTGTTATATATCGGTAGTTCAAGGAACCACACCGTCGTCTACAAGTAGGATTTGATTCGTTGGGTGACATTCCAGCGGTCTCTCGTTGGCATCAAGTATTTGCGGCATGGAAGTCGTTCGACCTCGTTACGATCAAAGGCGTGAATCATGATGGGCACTGAGACGTCTGCAACTTTTCGGATGCGCTGTTGTCATTCCCGGTAATCTGCGACGGGAAGGTAGTCAAGATGCAGACTATAATAGGTCACAAGTATTCCGATTTCTACAGAGCCAGGGACTGCGGAACGAGATGTAAGGACGATCGATGCATACCCCTGAGGATCGATGACGGAAGGGTGCAAGGGACCACAAATATCACCAGGTATCTCCGGCGCAACCCGCGGTGCAGATGCCAGTGAAACTAAGTATACTGACGGCGTATTGAGTCCATGTTCGGTCATCGGGGATGGCACATCTAAGGAAAGTAAAGTTAGCCCAGGACCAACCTTCAAGAATGGCTGTGATGAAGCGGATAGTCCGTAGTCACCACTAATGCTAGTAGTCACGGTATTGCGCATGACAGGGTTGACAACTGCTACTTCTGGCACTTCTGATGACAGCGGTGCTGTGCTGTAAACCATCTGTTAGTCGACGGGATGTACATACACAGATGTCATGTCAAGACGTACCCCATGGAGGTGGAATGAATGCTATTAAAGAGTCGGTCTGTTGTCAATCAAGAGCATATATATATGCATAGCCAATTATGAAAAGGACTCACAGGGCAGCCTGGCGGATTATCAGGGTTCCAATAGCTTTGTCCCGCGGAAGAGTGTATACTGAGCCATTAGGTACCAGATCCGAAGCTGTCATATCGCCACTCGGTAACTGCAGCAAAACTAGGACACTAGGGGAATTGTACTGGACACCGTTGATGTGGAAGTTGGAATTGGTCTCATTTTCCCCAAGAATCAGATTAAGCTTGACGTATGCGCCTCTTCCTTGAGCAAAATAGGCGGAGGCGGATATAAGAGGTGTAGGTCAATCTCATACAGAGCGACGGATGGCCGTGGAGTTTGTTCCTGAGTTCTGATCCGCGTGCACCCAATAGTTCTCGATAGGCTGACTTGTCTCGAGAACAAAGGAATACTGTTGTGCAGCGTAGATCTGGATGGAGTCGACCACAAGCGGCTCGACGTATTGGCCCATCAACTTCGATAATGGTGAGCTTATGGTTTCGACCGAGAATATACATATAGTTAGGCTTGAAAGCCATGTTGATTCAGAGTAAGCGCGCCGCAGAAAACGATATCGTTTGTATGGCTGAAACGTTGATAACAGCGAAAGGTATGTCAGCCCCCTCTGATATCTCCCGACACCGTCAATAAGCACTGAGGATTTTACCTGTCTTTGGACTTGAGGCAATGGAGCGTGATACCTGCAAGTCGGAGCCGGTTCAATCACGGGAATTGATCCATCGGTTTGCTTACCAATCCATCAAACGTGTCTTATAAATGTCAGAAACGTAATTCCATGTCTCCGAGTTCGCTGACGATTATTAATATTGCACGAGAAACGCCGTGGATCTTGTGGGTTGTAGACTGTTAACGCACCTCGTAGACATTCACGGTATTGGACCTGAACTCTATTCAGTCACCGATAAATGAATAAATCGGGACATGATACCCATGAGGTTGTAAGGCTGGGGCTTCCTTGGCCTGCATTGTTCGTCTGTAGTAACATCACACAGTCTTGTTCATACCATGACAGTCAAAATCAACTGCATCTCGTAGACCAAATGAGGTGTCAGCTTCATGTTGAAGTCACAACGGACGTGATTCACCTGCACACCAAGTTTACATAAAACCCAGACAGTGTAAAGATAGCAGGTTTTACTTTCCAACGGAGTTCACCCTGGCAACACCTGGCACGAACGTGGTCGGACCAATTGAGCCATGAGTCATAGCAGGAAGCCGTCCGCTGCCAGTCTGTATCATCGACCTCCACGTGCACCTGCACCAGACTGGGTGTGCTCGTTGCAACCTCCCTCCATCGTCGGCATACTCCGATCATTGGAGCTTTGAGCCTTGATGAGGGCGAAAAGTGATTGGTTTTTGGACCAGTGTCCGGGAAACAGTGGTGGAAAATTTGGGAGAGGAGTTCATCTGGAAAGCGCCAGAGAGGCGATATGAATCCCTTGTGGAAATTCATCGACTGGGTGATCTTGTCCTTTTTTGAACGAGTTGCCGATGAAGATTTTTTACCCCGTTCATCACAGCTTCCAACTGCTGCCGGCCCTCGGCGATGATATCGAAAACGTTCTGGTCCTCGGGTCGATAGTAGTAGAGTGGTCGGTGTTGGGGAATTTGTGATATGGAGTTTCAAAGTTCGGAATCTGGTCATCTTCGTTAACACAACATTCGTGAAATTGGAATAGTAGACATATACGATCACTTGTGAAGGTGCGAGCTGATGCGAGCGGTTATTTACCAGAGACGATCAATTATAAACTGGGCACTTGCGATGTTTTGCATCGCACTAATGATATCTGAGAACGAGAAATTGTTGACTGTTGGATTAGCTGTCTGCATGTTGCTAACAAGTTCAAAAAGGAAGACGTTCAAGTTGATGATGAGCTCGTGATTTACATACACCCTAGTACCGGAGACCCCGAAAACGTGATCTTTGGCTCATTCAATGGCGCTCATCACCATCTCAGGTTACCCCTCCTCTGGAAAATCAACCCGTGCAACCCAAATCCACGACTTCTTCTCATCATCTTCAAGCCCTCAGCTCAAAGTAAAAGTCATCTCGGACGATGATTTGGCCGTTGACCGCGCGTCATATGATGGTATTGTCCCCATCTTTTGCCCTGTTGTCTGTAGGCTGACTCCCCGACCGTCAATCAGACTCCCTTCAAGAAAAGACCGCCCGCGCGACTCTCTTCACCGCTATCACAAGACACATTGCCAGAGACACGATCCTCATCGTAGATGGGATGAACTACATCAAGGGGTTCAGATACCAGCTGTATTGCAAAGCCCGAGAGGCTGGCGTAAGGGTCGCTACGGTGTGTAGCAGATCGCTATATTCTCACTTGCACAACTGACACAATTGAGAAAAGTAGGTGTATGTCCTCGCTATACCTGATCAATGTCGGAAATGGAACGATGAACGAGCAGATGGGAAGAGATACTAAACCCCAAACGTCCGTCTTTCACTTCTCCGTGTTCCCACACCCCAATTTCTAACCTCGAAATACACCCAACAGCCTCGACGCCCTCATCCAGCGCTTCGAAGAGCCCTCATCCATGGTCCGCTGGGATGCCCCGCTCTTTACCATCCCCTGGGATGACCCAACGCCCCCACTCGAACGCATATCAGACGCAGTCACAACAGGCATCGTCAAACCTCCAAATGTCGGCACCCAGATAACACCCAAAGCACCCACAGATGCCCTCCGCACCCTGGAGCATACGACAAATGCACTGGTTTCTTCGCTCATGGCTGCTCAGGCTGCTGCCCCGCTTGGGGGACCTATCGTCCTCACCGTCGATGCGCTCGAGCCTAGTTCGAATACAAGTACCAATGCGAATCCTGTGCTCCGCGTCCACTTAACACTCCCGCATCGTGCACTGACGCTGTCGGAGCTGCAGCGACTCAAACGCCAATTCGTGGCTGCGCGCCGGAAAGCTGTCACATTGGGCAGCACAGAAAAGGGGAGGGTAGAGTGGGGAGAGGAGGGCGTGTCACGTGCATTTGCAGAGTTTTTGGAGGAGGGGCTGGGTGTTGCGAGGTGACTTGCACGTTAAGTATTCAAAACAAGAGCCTCGGATTAGAATCCCAGGAGTAATATAATGCAGGGCTTCTAATATGTGGCTCACACATCAAAGATCAAACGATTAACCCAGGTGAACACAATCTCTCACTTTTTGTAGAGTTTTCATGGAGGAATCGCAGCATTCAATCATTCGAATGACTTTTATAAGGAGGTCTTCTCCTTGGTGCTGCGCAGGACAAGGCTTTACCTAGTGATCAGCCCCTTTCACCATAGAAAGCTTGAAGCCAAACCACTACCAGGTTTGTTGCGTAGTCTCTTATCTCATATCGGACACTCCCCTGGTCTTTAATTCCAAAAACACGACCCCAATAGTATACGTTTGTGATGCGGTCTTTGATTTTTAACACAATCATGTTCGTGGTGGGCGGACAGCGGATCCGGGAAACCGTCTTTTCTTTTCTTGTGCGGGAGGAATGACGTCTTCAAGTACGCCACTCTGTTAGTCTATGAACTGAACTGGGTCAGTCGTCTTGTCTCTCAAGAAGATTTTCGAACTCATGAATGAATCAGTCCTCCTGTGCTTGATGTTGTACATCAAATTCAGCAAGTACAGCAATGCCGTCGGACCACTCCAAGAAACTTTTTTTAACGACTGAGTGATATATGTGATGTGTATCGTGAGTAAGATGACTTTGTTCGTCTAAGCTAGCCCGCGTGCTGCTGGCCAGCCATTCATGTGCTTATCGTCGAATACAGATCACAAGGGTTTCTTTCACAGACTCGTGAGTATATCAACTTGAATGACTGCATCTCCAACTGATCATGTATCACACCACCAGTCCGTAAATCATCATCCACGATGTTCTAGCCTTGTCAACATACTAGCAAGTGAAGGACGATCATGAATTCATACGACACTGGCGGATGTATCTGGATTATAATTTGGAGGAGATTTTTAACGCTGACATTCGATGTTTAATCAAGGCTATGTGTGCAGTCACTGCAGTGCAGGGCTGGTCCTACTCCGTGTGTATCTCATATCACATGCTAATTGTACTTGCGAACTGCGGTGTCTACTTGTCTACACGGGACCATTGCTAACGACGTTTCAAAAGTGCTGATCAGACCTCAACTGTATTGAACGATTGTGTTGAATCACACCCTGCCCAGCTGCCCTTTGCTCGTTAACATCTGAATTCTGAAACGTTTTACCTCAACCACCGCCTCGGATGCACACAGCTATGAAGGCTCTGCATGCCGCTTCCACAACGAAGAAATTGAGATTGCTGGCGCAGGACACAGAGGGCAAGCATACGGTAGGGGAAATCTTTACCGGCGAGAAGCGCCAGTTTGCCACTCTTCCCCTCAGAAACCATGCATGCTAAGCGAGCACATCAACATTCGACTCTAAAGGCAGCAGAGAACGACAGGCTCACTCAGGCTCACCGACAGTTGTCGATGTCCGGACCAACTATTTTACAGCAATTTTTACAATCATATCCCAAATAGGAAACAATTGTGCCTTTAGGTCCGCACCGAAATGCGAAATCGTTGTCGTCGTTCCAGAGTTTAATTCCCGTTGAGCACGCGACGAGACCTGCGGATACTAGCCATAAGCACACAAGGTCTACACGTAGGCCGCAAAAGTGCTTACCAGGGGGGTCGCAGGGTAGGCCATAGGGTGTTATTACCAGGTTGTCAGATGCGACAGCTACGCTAGTCATTGCTGCGACAGATACAATCATGGTGGTGAGTGAGGTGAATATCATTGCTGAAACTTAATGGTGTTCTCTGGGTCAAAACCTACATTGGCTTTTATACACAGGTAGTGTGGGGTGACCGATTTGCGTGCGCCCGCATCGCTGGGTAGACAGACGCTAGCTCACATTCCGTGACATCATCCTTTAATGTGCCGGACGCAGTCGGCGAGTTCGGTCTACGACAATAATGATTTATTTACCAAATTTTCAGATCTGCAATTACTCACTAGATTTCAAGCCTGGCCCAAGCCGGATGGAAGCTGCGTCTTTGGGCTGCAAAATGCGAAGGTGACATGGCGTGTGCTGGCGAACCTTCTGGATGAGGGCAACTTGGAACATCGAACAGATACCAACCTGCCGGCTTAGGCTTTGCAAATTCGAGTCCAAGCCTTGGGCAGGCCGTGACGTGAGCCCGGGCTCAGCTCGGCTTATTTACGTACGGCTTGGGCTGGCAGCTGCAGTATGTTCACCTTCATAACTTGAAGGAGCCAACAGTTGAGGGACCTGGAAATGAAGGTGTAAGCCCATGCTCACCATCTAACCGTTATCCACAGACCCGGACATGCAAGTCTGACAGTACAGGGAAAAGGCCCACCCAGATGCAGCCCTCGATACTGAAGATCAATTGGGACCAGGAATGAATAGCGACGCACTGGGTGTGTATTGGGATGATAAACTATTATCAACAGCCTTCGCACCGACAAAAAAGGATTTGCCGCGGAGATGTAATACTCACAGGCAGAGCAGACTATCCGGAATACATATCTCCGCCACAGTGCTGCGTCAGGCGCGTCATGACCGCGGCACCCACAGCAGGGCCGCGTCAATTTCATCTGGCCCCCAGGTGATGGCATGGTGCACAGCCTTTAATCATGCTGATGATCTGGCAACATCGAGTTCGAAGTTGGCTAGAAGAAAGATACTACACGGAGAGGAAATGCGGCTTCTTGAATCATCTGCAAACCACAAATTTCTCCACAGACATTGGAATTTTTGACAGTTTCCCACAGCCACCCAAAGTGGCGACAGAGCTCACAGAACACACAACCCCAGACGTTCATAATAGGACAGCGTTTCACAGTAACCCAAAGCGGCGACAGTGCTCACAGAATGTATACTGTATGTTCACGATAAATTTGCAGTGACTTCCAGTTGGGACTCGGAATCAACCAGTGGTACTAGTAATCCCAAGTCACTCGCAAGCTTGGAAGTACTAAGGGCTTTTGCAGGAATGATCACTGGCATCTCATTACATACAATGTTTGATATAACATGCTAGTATATATGCCTAAATACAAATGTACAGTACTGCACATAGCCCACATGTCGGTCTTGCAGAGTCTCGACAGGTTCAACTTTAACACAAAAAATAACAATCACTCGGTGAGTCATCAATCTAAGATGACCGTTATATCATGACCAGATTGTTCTGTGGTAGGACATTATGGGCAGTATTCGAGCCATGCCAGTAAATACAAGTAGGCAATGACACAGGTATACCCGTGGGTGTCGCCAGTATCACCCGCACCCATACCCGCAGGTATACCCACACCTGCATGGTGGGTGTGGGTTTTATGGTGGGTTGGTAGGTAGCACACCCGTGAGTATATGCACCCGTGGGTACACCCATGCGTGGGTGCGCACTAAGATAGCTGAAAAAACAAAATGTAACTACAAGCAGCCAGTGTTACTAAATTCAAACTTATTCTATCCCATCCATCCTTGAGAACCTCATCGCCATCACCATCAACATCGGGCAAGGTAGCGACTTTTGTAACATTTTTGTCCTTGACAAGGTTCAAACAGCTCCAAGCGCTGAGGCAGAGTAAGGCGTGTGTTGACTGCGTAGACAGACATGACCAAACGTGAGTTAACAGGAGCCTACCACAGCTGAAAAGACATTCAATGACAACTGATGTAGCTACCAATAGTGTCAGAACAATATTTCATAGTGACAAATTAGATGTACCAGGTATTGTCAGATAATCGAGTGCCATCCATGAGAGACACGGATAAGATGAGCGGTGCTCATGCCACCATGCAATAGCATTGGTA